CGAAAGCGGTTACACTATTACTTCTCTTTCTGTCCTGGCCTGGGATTGACTTCAGTTATCTTTTTTGACGAGTCCGTAGCTTGGTGCGGCGAATGGCAAAACTCACTGATGATGCAGACTACGACGCCGGCGAAACGTTTGAGAATTTATCAAGTCCACTGTCAGAATCATGACAACTACTATGGCAGACGACTTCGGACTAGGTGCGTTCTACATGGTCTCTCTGAAAACAAGACAAAGTTGTGACAACGAGGTCAACTCACTTCTATCAATCGAAAGGAGACCGCGGCCACACCAGAGGCCACAACATCTTGGTCTTCATATATTCAATTAATCTGGAAACATCGGCTGACTTCCCGTTCGTTCTGTCGTCGTCCTCAAGATTCCAGTTTAGAAAGAATCAACTAAGTTTGGCTAGTTTTTATAGCAGGCGACAATGCCGAATACTACGTCATCGTATGTACAGGCCGATAGAACTCAACTGTAATCTTCCGGCGATGTCACTTTTCACACGTTTTTGCGCGAAACAAAAGAGGTTTGTCAATGACCAATTGCTCTCGGCCAATTACTCAATTCTAGTCAAGTAAAGTCAGGACAATTATCTGCCCCAGTTTCTTGTACCTATTTGTTGCTATTATTGAATTGAAAGCTGCATTCCCGTCCGCAATCGCCAGCGCAAAAGATCGCATATGAAGGGGACAATTTAATTTTCCCACAATCAATCGAGTTGGCTGAGCTTTCATCGACGTCACGCGCCCAAGTGCTTCGTCAGCCTGAATACCACCAGACCCTTTTGACTGCGAATGCTTCCGGTCTGGTGGCTTTGAGAGAAATTCTGCATTCAGCTCCACTTCGCGTCGACATGAGGGCTAGATTTGGGCGTTTCGTTCTGGCCGGCATTTGGATCAATTCTCCTTGCGATCTGTCCTGTTGTCCTTTTGAGCCTCCTCTCTTGACTTCGTCCACGGCTCTGCTGGTGCTTTTTGGCTCCAGTTTCCTCTACTTGCCTGGCGACCTGCAGCCTCGCCAGGCTCGCCAGCGGCGCACATTGGTCCGGTCGATAAGCGAGTTCGAGTCCCAGTCAAGGCAGCCCGACCAGCGGCCCCAGCCTGTTTTTTCCCGCCTGTATTGTTCTCAGGTCACACTCGCCAGCTCGCCAACTCGCCTGGTCGGACCGGTCGGACCGGTCGGCCACAGCTGACCGGTCTGTGATGTAAACAGACAGGCACAGTGTACGTTGTGTCATCGGGCCGCTGTCTTTCCTCTAGCCAGCCGTCCAGCCGACAGCTGGTCAGCCGGCTGGCCGGGCGTGCCTTCACACACGACGGAGTTTGGACAGGCGAGGTCTATCACAGCAGGGATCGATACAATTGCTGCCGCTGTTGCTGTTGCTGCTACCGCCTGTCTCTCCGTCTTCTCTCTTAGAACTCTTGATCTCTCACCCTCTCGTGCAGGCATGACGCAACCACGTGGCAAGGCAACTCGCTCTGGGTGTGTCAGACAGGCCGGCGAAGGTAGAGGGAGAGAGAGAGAGAGAGAAGA